TATGTTTGGGGCCGGGTCTCTCCCCCAGCCCCACTTGCTGCCCCCCCTACCACCCCTCCCCCCCCCCCGCCGGGGCCCCCACGAGCACCCCTGCCTCTCCCCTGCAGCTCTGCCGGCTCCCAGAATCAACTGCTGCTGCAGGGTCCTAGTGCCCCCGTCCACTAGTGGCAGGGCAGGCTGCCCTTCCCCTGCCCTTCTGCCTTGGACCCTTCCCTTTTCCGGCAGGACCCTCCACCAACACAGGGGGTCTCCCCACCCGTGCTCCTGCCCCACGCTGGGCAAGGGGCAGCCCCATCCCCCACCCCCAATGAGGCTACAGTGAGGGGCAGCAGCAGGGGAGGAGGTGCACATGTGATGGACCCCCCCCCGGCACGCACCACAGGGGAGTCAAGAGAGCTTCTTCGACCTGAGAGGGGTCCTAGGAGCACGTGCAGTGACAGTGGTGTGGGGTGAGTGTGCTGCCAGGGGGAGAGGGGGGCCCCTCCCCCAGAGCTCACTGCTGCCGGTGCGGAGAGGGCTGGGGGAAGTTCTCCTCTGTCTGCACCTCAAACTTATCCCTAGCCCTGCCCCACCCCAGAGCCTGCATCCCCAGCCAGATTCCTCACCCCCCGCACCCCACCCTCTGCCCTAGCCCTGAACCCCTTCCTGCATCATGAACCCCTCATCCCCAGCCCCACCCACAGTCCTCACCCCACACCCCAACCCTCTGCTCTAGCCATGAGCCCCCTCCCACACCTCAAACCCCTCATCCCCAGCCCAACTCCACAGCCCTCACCCCTGCACCCCCTTCCATCCCCAAACTCCATCCCAGAGCCTGCACCCCTCACCCTCTCCTGCACTCCCACCCCTTGCCCTAGCCCAGAGCCTATACCCAAACTCCATCCCAGAGCCTGCACCCCCACCCCCTGCCCGAGCCCAGAGCCTGCACCCAGCACCCAAACTCCATCCCAAAGCCTGCACCCCAGATCCCCTCCCCCACCCAAACTCCCTCCCAGAGCCCAACCTCTCACCCCTTC